CTGACCTTGTGATCCGCCCGTCTCGGCCTCCCAAAGTGCTGGGATTACAGGCTTGAGCCACCGCGCCCAGCCTACTAATTTACTTTCTGTCCTCTCTGTGGGTTTGCCAATTCTGGGCATTTCATATCAATAGAATCCTATAATATGTGGTTCTTTGTGACTGGCCTCTTTCACTTAACATGATGTTTTCAAGTTTTATCCATGTCATAGCATGTGTCAATGAGGTTGCTGAGTTTTAAATAACAAATTGAGGGAAAAGATGGTCTAGGTGAGGTGCAGTGGCTCACATCTGTAAATTCCAGCACTTTGGGAGGCCAAAGCAGGAGGATCCCTTAAGTTCAGAAGATCCAGACCAGCTTGGGCAACAGAGAGGCCCCATCTCAAAAAAAACAAAAACAAAAACAAAAAAGTTCTAGGTCTCTTTTTTGAGGTTGCAGTCACATTGAGATTCATTCAACAATCTTTGTCCTTCCTTCCTTCCTTCCTTCCTTCCTTCCTTCCTTCCTTCCTTCCTTCCTTCCTTCCTTCCTTCCTTCCTCCCTCCCTCCCTCCCTCCCTTCCTTCCTTCTTCCTTTTTTTTTTTTTTTGAGATGGAGTCTCACTGTGTTGCCCAGGTTGAAGTGCAGTGGCGCGATCTCGGCTCACCGCAATCTCCACCTCCCAGGTTCAAGCAATTCTCCACCTCAGCCTCCCAAGTAGCTGGGATTGGTGGCACTTGCCACCATGCCCTGCTGATTTTTTTCTATTTTCAATAAGATGGGGTTTCACCGTCTTGGCCAGGCTGATCTTAAATTCCTGACCTCGTGATCCACCTGCTTCAGCCTCCCAATCTTCAGCTGGGATTACAGGCATGAGCCACCACCCCTGGTCCTTTGTCATTTTTTAAAAGTACCCATACACAGGACATTATTTTAGATACAAATGAGGCAGTCCTAGTCCTCAAGGAGCTTACCACTTTGCGAAGTGCTATACTAAGTCTGCATAAAATGCATGGAACAATAATGAAGAAGCAATTGATTCTGCCTGGGGAAGTCAATGACGACTTTACAGAAGAGGTGATATTTTACCTGGACTTTCAAATATTCACAGAAATTTGCCAAACTAGAAGAAAGGCATTGTAGGCATAGGGAAGTTCATGGAGGCATGAAAAGGTGAGGTGTCCTCAGGAAATGAGGAATAGTCCATTGTGGTGGAGAACTCTGGGGGACAATGAGCAGGTGGAGATGGTGGGGAAGAATCTGGTGGGATCTACCTGGTGAGGACCCTGCAGCAGGACTGATTCTCAGCAGCAGGCACCGGTTCTCCTCAATGACTAAACAGATGCTGTCCTGAGATCCTCTCCGCGTGGCCCCTGCCATCAGCCTCTCCCACTTCTTCATGATCCAGCAACCACAGGGTTAATGCCTGTGGCATAGCAAAGGCCTCTGAGATCCTCCGTCCAGCTGGCTCAGGTGAAATTGTCCTACTGGGGTATCTTGCTAGTTAAATATTTTGACTATCACCTCTTGCCCTCAGGCACTATTTTTCAAAATCCAGAAAGTGAATTAAGTTATAGAAGCCATAAAAAGTTTGCTTTTTAAACTAAACATTTTTATTCAATTGTAAAAGTAGCTACAAATGTAAAATACTTTCATAGCATTCCACAGCCATTGTTAACATCTCTGGCTTCTTGGGTTTCCTTTGTAATCTCGACCTCTTTTACTCGGTCTTAAATGTTAAGTTTCCCAAAGCCTGATCTTAAACCTCCTATTCCCACCCTAAGCTTTCTCCCTTTGGATCTCGTTAGCACCCAGGCTTAAATGACCACCAATAAACCGATGACTTACAAAGCTGATCTCTAGCCAGACCTCTCTTCTGCACTCCAGACTCATTTTCTGTTGTCTACTTGACACCACTTTCGGTTGTCACTCACAGGGGACCTCAAAGTCAACCTGCCCCAAACTGGCCCAGTCTTCATGCCCCAGTGTGGAGATATCTCCCATCACTTTCTGTCTCAGATGATGGCACCACATCCATTCAATTATGAAAGCCAGAAACCTGGGGGTTTCTGATGCTTCTCTCCTGGTTTTCTCTCCTGGTTTCTTTCATCCTGATGCTTCTCTCCTGGTTTCTTTCATCCCCTGCATCACCAAATCCTGGGGATTTGACTGATATCTCTTTAAGTCATCCATTTCTCTCCCTCCCCACCATCACCATTAGTTGAACCCAGTCTACCCTACAATAGCTTCCCAGTTTGATGCCACTGCACTACAGCCTGGGTGACAAGAGCAAAACTCAGTCTCAAAAAAAAAAAAAAAAAAGGACCAAAGGACCACTAAAAGAAGAGCACTTTTTTGAGACACAGTCTTGCTCTGTTGCCCAGGCTGGAGTGCAGTGGCATGATCCTAGTTCACTGCAGCCTTGACCTCCTGGGTTTAAATGATCCTCCTGCCTCAGCCTCCCAAGTAACTGGAACTACAGGTATGCGCCACCACACCTGGCTAATTTTTTTTTTTTTTTAATTTTTTTGTAGAGACAGGGTCTTACCATGTTGTCCAGGCTGGCTGGTCTCAAACTCCAGGGTTCAAGTGATCCTCCTACCTTGGCTTTCCAATGTGCTGAGATTATAAGCATGGGCCACCATGGCTGGCCTAAGAAGGGCACTCTTAGCACAGGTTGGTGAGGATTCGGGGCTAGAAGAGAGCCCAAAATGTTCATTTATTCACTGATTCATCCTTCACTCATTAATATAACAAACACTTATTGGGAGTCGGCCATGGGCCTGGAATTGTGCTGTGTATTGGGTATAAAGATGAGAGCCCCAGTCTCAACTTCAGTGAGATAAGGGTCAAGTTGGGGAAGAGACACATTGCAAATGAATAGAGTACAGGTGAGGAAGATTTACAAGATGGGCAGGGAGGGCTAAGACAGCAAGGTGGAGGAGGTGACCTTGGGGAGAATCTTGAAGGGCAAATACAGGAGGAAGAAATGTTTCTCTAAACAGAGGAAACAGCACATGCAGACGTGAAGAGGAGGGAGGAAGCCCAGGGCACTGGAGGGACTGCAGGTGGTTCGAGCCGCTGGGGTAGGGGCTGGCATTGAAGTGATTTGAGCGGAAGGATTGGCAAGAGCTGGAACCTATGGGCCTAGAGGACTCTGCCTGCCACATGAAGGTCTTTGAACTTTCTTGTGATGTGGAATGGTTAAAGATTTTGGAGCAGTGTGAAAAATTGATCAAAAGAAGATTCTTGGGCCTGGGTGAGACTACAAGCAGGAAAAACCAGTTTGGAGACTATTGCAATCAGCGAGGTAGGAGCTGAAGAGTGTCTGAGCCAGGGCTATGGCAGCGGGATATGAGCAGAGGATATAGATGTGGAAGATTGGTGGGGATAGAATAGACTTGGTGTCTGGCTGGGGGTGGGAACAAAAGGAGGTATCGCTTGATTTAGTCTCCTGCCTTCGGGTAGATAAGGCAACAGCATAATTTTACAGGTGAGAAACTGAGGCTCCACTATAAGAGATTTAGAGTAGGTAGCTGACCAAGCTAGAGTTACCACTTGTAGAACTTTGAGGATCAGTAGCTCAGGGCAGCTAGTCCTGCTAATGACCTCCCTGACTCTGTCTACCCAGCTGGAGAACTTCCCTATCACCATAATCACCATGCAGTGCTGATATCCAAGCCTGCACAGGCTGATGCTTGTTTCCTAAATACCCCGGGCAGGTTCAGTCCCGTGACTATGGTTCTAACACCTGGAATTTCTCCCGAACCTCCTGGTCATGTGATGCACTGGCAGTGAGTTAGTGGATAGGTTCATGGCATGTGTAAGGAAATCAGCAGATGCTGGATCTAGCTGTCTGCCTTCTGACTTCCTAAAAATGTGACTTCTGGTGTTTCAACAGATCACATGCCCTTAGCACATCACCAAGTTCTGGCACGAGGGTGTGGTGATGGAGCAGATTTTGTAAGGACTCCAGCTGGTGGGATTCCTAGCCCAGTCTCTGCTTCCCTCTTTTTGGTGGTTCTTCGGTTGCCCTTAATTTCTCAATCCCTTTTCATATAAAGGAAAGAAAATTACTTTCTCCCTCACCTGGCTCTTCCCATTCTCACCCTACTGTCTTTTTAGCTCTCTCTCCAGGGCACTGTATAAGCTGGGGTTAATGCCATTGGAGGGAGGACTCTGTAGCTCCAGCTTGGCTTTTCCATTTAATTGTCTTGGTGAAGCCAGCCATGGTGGTGCTCGCCTGTAATCCCATCTACTTGGGAGGCTCAGGGATGAGGATTGCTTGAGGCCAGAAGTTCAAAACCAGCCTGGGTAACACAGTGAGACCTTATTTTTAAATGAATGAATGAATGAATGAATGTAACAAGTGTCAGCCCCAGCCTCAAATTTTCTTTTCCTTTCCTTTTCTTTTTTTTCTTTTTTGAGACGGAGTCTCTCTGTGTCACCCAGGCTGGAGTGCAGTGGCATGATCTCGGCTCACTGCAACCTCTGCCTCCCGAGTTCAAGCGATTCTTCTGCCTCAGCCTCCCGAGTAGCTGGGACTACAGGCGCGTGCCACCACACCAAGCTAATTTTTGTATTTTTAGTAGAGACGGGGTTTCACCATATTGGCCAGGCTGGTCTCGAACTCCTGACCTTGTGATCCGCCTGCCTCGGCCTCCCAAAGTGCTAGGATTACAGGCATAAGCCACCATGCCTGGCTCCCCAGCCTCAAACTTTCT